GACCGCTCAATTCTCCCCAACTCCCATTAGATTAGACGTATCTCAAGCGTTGAATATGCGTCATAAGATGTCAACCATAGATCCAACGGCCTCCATTGCTCCTTACCATGTCAACTGATATATCCTTATCATTAGCCTAATTATTGTAATTAGATGTCGCATTAGATCTGGAATTACTCATTAGAATGAAATTAACGTCTTTAGTCTATAATGATCAATCATAGTAATGGGGCGTGAGTGGAAGCATCGTTTGGCATCCAATATTTTTTAAAAAAATTTGTGTCATTTTCTTTTCGGTCCATCTAATATAAAAAAATTTAAAAAGTTTTAAAAAAATTCAAAAAAAATAACTAAAGACAAAAAATCCACACACACAAAAAAAAAAACAAAACTATTTTGTTTTCAGTGAACAATTTTTTATTTTTTTTTTCGTTTTATGATCTGTTTAATTTTTCTTAAAAAAAAATCACTAGAAAAATGGAAAACAGTAAAAAAAAAAAAAAAAACTATTAAAAACGCCAATCTCATAACCCGCAAAATAAAAATTCAGCTACATATATCATTGACACGTAATATAATTAATTAATAATAAAAATACATAACTACATTAATAATGAGCTACATTTTTAAATCCCACATTTAAAATATAACTACATTTTTCATAATAATGTAGTAACAGTTTCATTTTTTTTTGAATAATTAATAACAGTTAAATATACATAGTGAGTCATATGATATTATACTATTAAATAATAATAACACAATATCATTGTTGCTTTCATTTTTTTCAGATTACACTACATATGATAATATTTTTTATATAAATCTGATACATTAAAAAAAAAAAAAATTGAGAATTTTATTTGTGTAATTGATTTAAAATTTTCTCAATATTTTTCGGTGGAAAAGAGTTGTCACCAACTCACTTCCCTCTGAAGCCTTCTTTTTTTGCGTAAAATGTCATTATCATGCGTTTGAGATAATCCACCCACAATTAGTGACCTCAATCATACCCTAAACTATTCACTAATGTTATCATCCAACTTTTGGTCATGGCCACTACTGTGTAGGCAGATAATATGGATATGTTATTTATTTTATTTTATTTTTTTATCAAGGATATGTTATTATACTCCTTTAAATATTGCCACTATTAAAAATGCATAATGTGTCAAAACAATACAAACACAAGAACTTGAGCACATTCAATTTATCTCAACCATTAAATTGTCTTCACTTGACGGCACTCTACCTTATCATCTGAATAGAATTAGGATTTTATTATTGGAGGGGTCAAAAAAAAATATATACAAAACATGCATATATGTATATATGATATATAAATTATATATAAATAAATTTTTTTAAATATCATAGAAGTAATTTTTAATAGGATAAATAAGTTTTTTTTGATGTAAAATAGAAAGAGAATTCAAGATAGAACAATAATGACATATATATTTTTTATATTGTGGGTCATTTTATATATAAAATGATATATATATATATATATATTTTAAAAATTTGATGGCAAATAATAATGTTAGTAGAAACAGGGAGTCATAGGCTTATTTTGGCAACATAGTTTTTAGTCATTTTTTTTGGTTAGTAGCAAAAGCTAAAAGTTGACTTTTTTGGCTTTTTTTTCATTTGGGAAGTTGGTTTTTAGCCAACGGTGAAATTACAATTTTATCCCTCATGGGTCAAAATGTGTTACATAGGTGAAGTTGTAAATATTTTAAATAAATGGGGGTAGTTTAGTCATTTTATTATGATTTGACATCATAAACAAATATTAATAAAAAAAGTTAAAAGTCACTTTTTACCAACATCCCAAATCATTTGTCTAAAAAAGCCAAAAGCTTGGTTAAAAATCAAAAAGCCACTTTTTACCATCTTCTCAAAATAATCCCCCATAGTCTTCTTCTAGTTCTGTCCCTGCTTATCATGTGACCAAGTTTATTGTATTTTTTTATTTACATTTTATATTCCTATACCCAAAAAAAAATAAAAAAATAAAAAAGAGTTGTGTAGTTTGATAATAGTTGTATATGTGCCATTTTGGGAAGACACCAAAAATGCCATGTTTTTGGCTTGTGAAAAAAAACGCCAACAGCCGAAAATGTTGGGACTTGCATTTGGGAAGTGACAAAAAAGCTACGTTGTGAAATTACCTAAATACCCTCCATGTTAACGAATTACTTAAAATTTCAAAGTTTGGCAAGGGTATGTTGGTCATTTTATTTTGATTTGATACCATAAATAAATATTAAACCAAAAATAAAAAAAGTCAACTATTTACTAACTTTCCAAATTACCTCCAAAAAAACCAAAAAATTTGACAAAAAATCAAAATCCAACTTTTTACTAACTTCTCATAACACCCATATATAAAGTGATTATTTTCATGTTCAAAGTCGCAACTTTAAAGTTGATAGGTTTAATTGTTAGAATTATTATTTAGGGAGCGAGAATATTAAATAATAAAATAAGAGATTTAGACTTTAGAATCTTAGAGAGAATATGGATTACGTTTGCAAAGGGGTTGTTTGGGATGACCTAAATAAGTGTACTTTTTATCTTTTTATGAAAAGATGTACAGAAAAGTAGAGAGATGATATAATGGAAAAATGATAAAAAATGTGTACTTATTTAGGATAGTCAAACTTGGCCAAAATATAAGTGAAATCTAAAACCTATTACTTGTTGGGCAAAAATTATTTGTAGTTTATAAGAAAGTTTAACATAATTAAAAAATTTATTTTTATTTGTTTGCTTATTTTAAGTTTTTTGAAGTAAGAAAAAAAAATGAAAATTGGGTATATTTTACTAATACCATAAAATATTTTAAAGTATAGTAATATTTAACTATAAAATTTGAAATTTGAAATTTAATTAGTTTGTTTGGTTTTGGTTTCCAAAAAACACTTTTTAGAAAAGTTTAAGTTTTTATTTTTTGTATTTTTTTTTGTTTTCAAAGATTTTTTTAATTTTTAGATACACGTAACATAAATACACTTAAAAAGTATAATATTTGTGAATTTAAAAAAAAAATCACTAAATACCAAAAATATAAAAAAATACGAAAATTCAATACATTTTTCATATATTTGTGTATTTATTAATTTTTAAAAAATATTTTTACAAATGTTTTACTATTTAGATACATCTAAGTAAGGTACATCTAAAAAAGTGAAAAAAATACTTTAAATTTTAAAAATATTCACTAAAAATAAAAATATATGAAAAATAAAAACTTAATTTTCAAAAAACTAAATTAAAAAAAAACTAAAAACCAAACATACTGAATAATCTGCAAATGAATTTTGCTCATTGGTCATTCTAGGAATTAATATAAAATAGATACTTCTGAATTTTATGTATAATTTTTTTACTTATATGTCACTATTTACTATATTAATGACAGTTTTAAAACTGTGACATAATATGAAAATATTTGTGAGGTTAATATATTTGTTTTGGGAAGTAGGTTAAAAGGTAATTTTTTAATTTTTTTTACTTTTTTAAAAAAAATATGTAAAAAAATAAAAAAATAATATGATTTTAAAAAAAAAAAAAACTAAAAAGACTGATTTTAACCTCTTTACCAGGAGAGGCCTATATTTTTTAAGGGTTCGTTTGGTTTGTATTTCTGAAAAATTTTTGAGAAATTTTCTCTACAAATAAGTTTTTAAAAGTAATCAAACCAAACAAATTTTCCCAAAAAAATTTCTCAAAACTTGTAAACTAAACAAGTTTTCCAAACAAATCTCTCTCTCACACACATCAAATCAATTACTTTTTCCAAAACTCTCTCTCAAAATAATTTTTCAAAACATATTTTAAAAAAAATCAAACCAAACAACTTTTCGTACTTTTTATCTCTAAAACACATCTCCCAAACACAAACCAAACATACCCTAAATATCTTACAATAATTTTATGTATTATATATATGGATTGACTTTCCTTTAGGGAGGTGCTATTCGATTATTTGGGTCTTATTATAAATTTTATTTCAATAATTTGAGTTAATTATTTTGTTCAGTTATACTATACGTGATCATTTATAAAAAAAATTAAATTAATTAAATACTTATAAATTATGATTCTGTTATATTTAAATGCAAAATAGAAATATTTCATTTTTAAAATTATCATTATCTTATAAATAAATATCCTCAAAATGTATAATTACAATTATAAAATTAAAAGGGTGATAACTAAGACTCCCTCCAATCACCATCCCCATCACCCTACACACACGTGGCGGGTGGTGATTGGAGGAGAAGAAAAAAAAAAAAAAAAAGTACCAAACCATAGAGAGAGGGGATCAAGGGAGTGAGTAAAAAAAAAGGAGTAATGTTAGAGGTCCAAATAATCTACCAAATGTTTTACCAAATCTCTCACATGTGGGTTTGTGTGGGTCTCACACCCATGTGAGACGTTTGGTAAAACATTTGGTAGATTATTTAAGATTTCTAACATTTTTCAAAAAAAAGGAGTCCAAGTCATTATTTAAATTAAAATAAGTGTTTTTTTCAATATAAGCCATCTATACGTATGGTCGAACGTGGGCCAACAACAACCTCCCCTGAATATAACAATTTTCTAACAGTAACAACAGTGGAGGAGGTATATGCAAGAGCGTGCAGTTTAGATCCAATAAAAGAAAACAAAATGACAAAAATCACACTACCCTATCAAAACCTGTGTGAACACATACAATTTTAGTCAACAAAGCAGTGCTACGGACACCTGCCAGTCGACGACGGACACCTGCCAGTAATCAGGGGCACGTGTCGACATATTAATGGCTAGAGCGCATTGATTGAGGGTGTCTGACATCACGAACAGAAGAACCTAACCGGGTAGATGGATAATTGTAATTAATACAATAATTAATAAAATTAAGCAAGGATTAGATGCCGAGAAAGTGTCGTGATTACCAATGTTAAAACAATGGGCCAACACTGCTATATAATACTAGGGTTGCCAAAACCCATACGCAGAGATAAGATCAAATTGTGAGGCTGAGCAAGAAAATCTTCTACTTTCCCCAGAAAATTAGTGATCAGAAATTTTTTTTGGTTCTTGATTCTTTGATCTTCTTTTTCTTTCCCCCCCCTTCTGTAACATCCCCGCTTCTCTGTATCCCTTTCTGTAAATCATCTGTCTTTCAAGTTCTCTGTATTTTTGGGTTTGTTTTTCCAAAACAGTGCACAAAAAGCAAACTTAGAGAAGGATTTCAAGGAAGCCAGGTGTTTTCAGAACAGAGATCCAGTGTTTTTCATTCACTGATTTCTATTTTTTAAAGCTTTTTTTAATTTTCTTTTTTTTATATATATATATTTTTAATTTTATCAAATCACCTAGGAGGGTAATTTTTGTATCCCTCAAGGTTGGTTTTCTGAGATCTGGGCTAAAGAGGCCGATTTATTTACGATCCTCTTTTGATCCTCTTTTTATCAGAAGAATTTTATTGTACTTAATCTTTCTGTGTTTGTCTTGTTTTCTTTATAATCTTGATCTGTTCTTTTGGTTTTGGTTAAGAAACAGGTTGATTTTCTTGTTTTGTTTTTGGTTCTTTGTAAATTTTGGTGTTAAGAAATGGCAGTTACAATGGATTCATGGAGTAGTAGCTCACTGTTTCAGTCAGATTCAGACCCATTTAGGGGTGGTGACCTCATGGAAGCACTTGAGCCTTTTATAAAAAGTGCTTCCCCAACCTCCTCTTCTTCAAATTCTCTCTCCCCTCCTCCTACCTCTTCCTCCTTTTCTTCTTCCTACAATTCTTGCTATTTGTCTCCCCCTTTCTCCTCCCAGTCCATTTCTTCATACCCAGATAGTTGCTCCACCTCGACAACCCAACTCTTTTCTCAAGGGTTCTCGACCCATGACCCGTTGGGTCTGGAGCAACCGGGTTCAATTGGGCTCAACCACCTAACCCCATCTCAGATCCAACAGATCCAAGCCCAGATTTACTTCCAACAGCAGCAGATGAACAATCAATGGCCTCAGCAACAGCCGACCCTGAGTTTCCTCAGCCCAAAGCCCATCCCCATGAAGCTAGTGGGCTCTCCCCCAAAGCCCAACAAGCTCTACAGAGGAGTGAGACAGAGGCACTGGGGAAAGTGGGTCGCTGAGATCCGTTTACCCAAGAACCGGACCCGACTCTGGCTAGGCACCTACGACACAGCCGAGGAAGCCGCGCTGGCCTACGACAAGGCGGCTTACAAGCTTCGAGGCGATTTCGCAAGGCTCAACTTCCCCAACCTCCGTCACAGTGGGTCCCACATCGGCGAGTACAAGCCGCTCCACTCAGCCGTCGACGCCAAGCTACAGGCGATCTGCCAGACCTTGGCTGAGGGAAAGCCAATCGATGCCAAGAAGTCGAAGCCGAGGTCGTCGAAGGTGGCAGCCGCAGCAGCAGCAGCAGCAGCAGCAGCCGCGGCTCGGGCTGTGGAGGTCGAGGAGGAGGGTTGTAAGGTGGAAGCCGAGTCGAACTCGCCGTCGTCGGAGAGTGAGGGGTCAGCCGGGTCGTCGCCGTTGTCGGATCTCGGGTTTCCGGACTTCACGGAGGAGGAACCAGCATGGGATGGGTCATTGATGTTGGAGAAGTATCCATCTTATGAGATTGATTGGGCTTCTTTGTAAAAAGCATTATCTATCTTGTCGTGGTCGCTGTAATTAAATTTTTGGCAATTGCAGGGCTTATTATTATTATTATTATTAAGTTTTGAGTCTTTTGTGTTTTGTATTTGTTTTTTTGGTTAATTAGTAGTTGGGTTATCATGTAATATTGGGTTTTAGGTGTTGATGTGTAGGGATTAATGGGTAAAGTTGTGATTATTAATGTTGACAGTGTATGTAATATATGTTCTTCCATGGTCAGCTTGGTTTTTGTGTTGGCTAGACCATGGGGAAGCCCTGTGTAGTAGGTTCGTTCATTCACTCCGTATTGGTGTGTAATTCATTTCTATTCAGCAGAGCTTGTTTGGTGATTTAATATATTTTTTTGTATTTATTCATTTTTTGAAATATATTTAAATTACATATATTTAAGTAAGAAGAATTTAAAAAAATTAAAACTTTTATGAAATTAAAAAATATTTATTAAAAATAAATAAACAAAAAAAATATCTAATTTAAAAAATTAAAATTAAACAAACATTTTAAATTGATTGTGGTTCAAACGATCCTTAAATGAATTTCTTCTCAAATTGAGGGAAAAAGAAGTATGTAAGAAGTTGGTTAATAGTAATTTTTTCAATTTTTTTTAAAAAAAATATCTATAAATATAAAAGAGAAATATGACTCAAAATAAATAGAAAGTTAGTTTTTAATTATGTTCTCAAATTGACCCTAAGGGTCATTTGCAAATATTGGGTAGCTACGTTCAAATTTAGGATTGAAAAATTCATATCGCGGGCTCAAAAAAATATGTAGAGGTTTTTTTAAGATGGAAATTTTACTATTTTGCATAACAAAGAAATTGATGTATTGGCGTTTTCTTAAAAAAAAAAAAAAAAAATTATTATTTTATTTAAGTCAAATTATTTTTTTATTAAATCACTTTAAAATATTTTAAACATATTCAAAAAGTGATGAGAGTTGTTTGAGATATTCAAAAAGTGATGGGGATTATTTAAGTTAAAAAGTATATATATTTAAAACATTTTAAACATTAAGAATTATTTGAGATATTTTAAATAATAGTATTTTTTGACTGTTTCTAAATTCACCTAAAAAAAATAAAAATATTATAACAAAAATGCCTTAGATTCCCAGTTGGGCTCGGCTCCTATTGATTAAAAAAAAATTACTATTATTTTTTTTTTAATTTTCGGCAAGCCCAGTGCGCCATTGGAGTCTGAAGCACAACTCATATTATAATACGCTTATCATACTAACAAACACTAAGGGGAACAATCTAGAAAAAGCCGCTGCCGGAGGCCTTATCAGAGATGACCGTGGCCGTTGGATTGCAGGCTTCAGCAAAAACATTGGAGTCACCTCTAGCTCTAGTGTCGCAGCAGAATTGTGGCAATGAGTGATGGTCTAAAAAAACATTGAAATTGAAACTGATGCCTCAATGTTAAAACAAGGGCAACGAAAGTGATTCTCATCAACTCCACATTTTTATCGTTGATTGCAGGTCCCTCCTCATGATCTTAATTGAGAGCGAAGGAAATTAATCACATCTATAGGGAAAGCCTGTGCTGATCTACTAGCAAATCAAGGAGCACTTGCTAATGAATAAATTCATATTTTTTCAAATCCCTCTCCTTGTACTTGTAGGAGCACTTGCTAAGGAATAAATTCATATTTTTTCAAATCCCTCTCCTTGTACTTGTAGGCAATGACTTTGGTCCAGTCCAAGATCGGGCTTTGGTCCAGTTTAAGATCGGATTGGACCGTATTGTTGGATCCTTGGGGGCCTATCACGGGTCCCGTTTTGATAATCCGAACCGTTCGATGTGTAGAACTCGTCGAGTACTATATGTCTGTAAAAAATCACGTTGATCGGATATCGATAGCTATATGAACAAAACAGTTTTTTATCAACCGTTAATTGTTTCACCGTCTATTTTTTTTAATACAAAACTGATTTGATCACATAGCTATTGATATCCGATCAACGTGATTTTTTATATGCATGTAGTACTCTACGAGTTCTATACATTCAACGGTTCGGATTATCAAAACGGACTCAAAAAATAGACTCCATGGGCCGAACTAGACGGGTCCAGTCTTGATCTCAACTTGAGACAAGCTGGACCTATTTGTAACCAACTGTTTGATGATCCTAGGAAAGTTTATTACCCTACAACTATGTATCCTCACTTCTTTTTATTATCTATAATATTACTGCACTTTTATTACCAAAAAAAAAAAAATTTAAAAAAAATTGATAGTTTCTCAGCTCAGTCTATGTCTACTTTTGCAAAAGAAAAAGAGAGGAGGACAAAGGAGAAAGAGTTGGTTCAATATTTAACAGTTAAGTTGGGTCAATATTTAAGGGTTAGGTCTTTTTAGGGACAAATTAGTCACAAAAAATAAATAAATAAATAAATTATAAACGCATGAAACTTGGACACTTTTTAAAGGATTGCTTACTAATATTAACTTATGTTGGTAGAAGTATCACGAAAATTTTCTTTTTAATAATATGAGTTTATATTGGTGAAAAAAAAGAAAAATGTTAAATAAATAGATTTTTTTGTTATTATAAATTTTAACACAACAGACTAAATAATTGAATGGTTGAATGCAAAAAACACCTCAAGTGCATGTCTCATACAAATGAGCAAACATATCTATGGAGGTATTATTAGGTGTATTTGGAGAAATTATTCAATACCTCTTCAAACAAATTCATTGATATTACAGAATAGTTGTTATTGGCGTAAATCATAACATTTAGGATAATTATGTAAGTTATTTTATTAAATCACGTAAATTTTTATAAATATACGTAAGTTAACTTATAAAAATTTTAAAAATCACAATTTATGTATATTTGTGAGAACTTACTCGATTTTGTGAGATAATTTAGGTATATTTATGAAAACTTATACAAATATATATGATATGCACATTCTATATCCAAACACTAAAATTTATTCTTTTTGTATTAAAATTTAAAAATATTCATCTATATAATTTTTAGTGAATGAGTATTTGACAGATAAGAAACTGATTTTTGACAAAACCTCATTCGAAATACACTCGGAAGAAAAGATGTGTGAATACGATATTGCTGATTAGAATTTTAGGGGACAAAATAATGTTAAATGAAAGTCGGCAGGATTAAATTCATTAAAAAAAAAAGTTTGCTTTTTATTTTTATTTTTTATTTTTTTGGTACATCGAAGATAATAATAAAAGTTAGCTTTTATGTTTATTCGAAGGATTTTTCTTAAGTATGCAACTTACACCTTATACTTACGCTTTTCTGTTTACTGTCCTGTTTTATGTTTATATCTTCCACTTACACCTTTTATATTGGTTACATATGATATGATATGCAACCTTAAAGGGTTGCACACCATGACACGACCCTTACCCAAAAAACACTCTTGGCTTTTACGTCAAGTCACCCGATTGATTGACGTAGAGGAAACAAATTTTCAAGTCACCCCACCACCTTTCTCCGAGTAAATGAGTAGAGTCAAATTAAAGTTTAAAAAGTTTATTTTAAAAGTAAGGTAAATCACACTGGAGATTTGATTTAGGATTTGTTTGAGAATTGGATTGATTTTTTATTTATTTTAATTTGTGGTTAACAAATTTTATTTGGGATAAATTTTTTAATTTTTTTAATTTTTATGAAAGTAAGAATGTAAAGATTATGAGTTAGATGTGATGTTTAATTTTTTTGAGCTAAAAAGCCTATTTTATTTTATTTTTTGATTATTTTTGTCAAAAAAGCCCTAAACCTAACTTTTCAAACGAGCACTTAATTATATTTAATCTCTTGACATTTTGAAAATTATATTTTTATCTATATAATTAATAATTTCATTTTACAAATCTTCTATTTATATAAACGATAATAACTCTTAATAGAAAAAAAAAATTATATTGAAAAAAAAATAAAGCAAAAGAAAAAAAAATTGAAAAAATAAAGTAAAACAAGAAAAGAGAGTGTATGAGTTTAATATTTTTATTCTGTCTAAATAATTACAATGATAAGAAAGTTAGTGTAACTTCTCAAACGTCATAAATGATATGTATTAAACCAAAATCTCATGTGGTATAAGTCTAATTTACCCTGAAATGTATATTCAAATTTTGGCTATTAAATTTTAAAATTGATCTTAAAAATTTTTCATTGAGCTGGTCAATTTGGTTGGGATAAGTTTTATGCTTGGGGCTCTTTTGGGAATTGGTTTAGTAGTCATTTCACAATTTTTAATCAATTTTGAATCTTATTATCTCTCATAGTTTTTTTAAAAAAAAATTAAAAAAATAAATAATTAGCTTTTATCCATCTTTTCAAAACAATCCTTTATTTATTTGGGAGAAATTTTTTTTTGGGTATTTAATGTCACAAGATTATTACCACCAGTCTCACCTCCACCACCATCACAGTCACTATTGCCGCCCAACTAAAAACAGAACCAGAATTTCATTATCGGTGGGACTAAAAGAAAAATAATTTATTTCACCAAATACACAAAACACACATGTATGTATAATATGATATATATAAATTATATATACATTAAAAAAATTTAACACGCACAAAAAGGTTTGAAGATAAGAACGAGCTATCACAATTATCGCTTGCTATAGTTTTTAAACAAATAGAAATATTCACCTAACTTTTTTTTTTTTTTTTGGGCACATCACCTAACCTTTTTTATTTGTATGTATGTAATAATACACAGGCGATTGAAGGCAGAGGATTTTTTTTTTTTTGAAATTAAAAAAATGCTATATATAATCTTTTTTATTTTTATTTTTATTTGTTTCTTACTCATAGACACAAGTGAGAAATTCCATGTACATTTATTGATATGGTTTTCATTTTTTTGTATCCAAGAGTGAGAAAATGAGGAACGAATAAGATTATGTATAATATTACTCATTTATATATATATATATATGTGTGTGTGTATGGTATTTGGCGACCCACCAAAATATGCAGCATCAAACTCTTTTGGCTCAAACAAACCTAGCATTAAAAACAAATGCCCCATCAGATTAGGGTACCGGGTATGCCAGTCAAAACAAAGCAAGATACAATTTTTGGCCCTGATTTTGATCTTGCTGAAAATTCAACCTGCTTCAGCCCTGTCAAAGAGTCGGACGGCTATATCTAGGCAATGCTTGTTTGCTTTTGACATGGTATCTCCTAGGCTCGAGATGTCTTTGAACATTGTGTCTAATTAGGCTACCCTTCTATTATTACACCAGTCTTCTTCTCAGTTTTGAATTTGGGATAGCCATTCCATTTTTAGCTTGTCCCAAGATTCAAGAATTCTTCGGTATAAAATCCCCAA